CTCCTCCTCCTCCTCCTCCTCCTCCTCCTCCTCCTCCTCCTGCTTCTCCTCCTCCTTTCTCTCGATTTCTAACGTCAAAGAAGGCCTGGAATACAAGGCTTACAGGGAAGCAAAATGCTAAAATCTCTTCAATGTAATAACTTTGATTTCCAGCAAAAATGATTTCCGCTTATGCCCAAAAAAACCTCAAATTAATGGCAATTTTAGCTAATAAGGTAGAATATACGAATTTAAAAGGATGTATAGAAGTACTGGCAAATGTTGATTAGTACGGGATTGTGGGAGGCGAGCAAGGGAAATGGAAGACTTGAGATAAGGAGGAATTCTTTCCTCCATTTCCCCCTCTCTCCTCCCTCCTCCCCCTCCCCCCCCAATCGAGCCACATTTTGCATAGTGGTTTGTTGAAGTTGCTACTTTAAATGTCCCTTTTTTGGCGACTATTTCAATCACCTTGAGTGTGGCCTCTCAGCATTGCTGGTGGAAAGGACAGGAAACCATCAAACCACCTCCCATCAAGCAACTCTTCATAGCCTCTTTAGTGACTTGTCAAGGCGATGACAAATTTTGATGGATGGTATTTTCTACCACTACTACCATAGTAGCAAAAAAAAAGAGGGGAGATGAGCAAATTCCCTCCTCCTCCCCCCCCGCCCCCGTCTCCCTCCTCCACTAGAGTCTATAAAAGAAAAACTTTTGTAATCGCCTGTCAAATGTCAATTTTGTCTGGCTCTAAATTTTTCTATCTGCTACACTTTTAAGTGAAGTATACTTTAAATTTGTGCATTTTGGTTGCCTTGACACAGGCAAATTTTAACAATAATTCAACTTTTGGTTTACTTACAGTCTAAATAATTCAATTCCCTCTCCGGAAATGCGTGGTGACGATGTGCAACAGTCAACTTGGACCAAATTTTGTCGCCAGTTGGCATGGCTTTTTTTTTTTAACGGGTTAGACAAAAACCTGGGCTGAGAACACCATTAAGGATTTGTTTATTGCTGGAGTCCTTTCCACCCACTCAATGGTTTAATCTTTTAAGTGATGCCGCCGTTCCCAGGACCGTGCAAAACGAGTAAATGTGTCTGTCACCTACTTTACAAATGCCTCCCCAAAAAGCGGCACATCTAAGGCACTAAAAGGGGGAGGAAGTGTAGCAGCACCTAGACGGGTAAATGTGGCCAATTAGCGAATTGGGGGGAGGGGGGGAGGAGGAGGAGGGCAACAGGGCGAAGAAGGGGGAAAGGGAGCCCCCAGTGTGTGTTTTAGAATGCAGCTTTGGGCCCAAGTTTTTCCCACTCCGAGGTAACCTTCAGACCACCACGCCCACACGACTTGTGCATCCATCACATGATCAGTCATTTGTCTCTCAACTCCTCATAAAATTTTTATTAAATCATCAGCATTGAAATGCTGCAAGTGCTCGCTTTGGACATCAGTAAGGCATTGACGGCGTTTAATGTCAGGATTATGACATGAGCGGATACGAGATGGTTACAACTTCCCTCTAATGCAATGTGTTTGCCTCTCGGATGTGCTGAGTTCTCTTTGGACTACTCCGACCTCTCTTAAAGCAGTGCCTCGTTGAAAAATTCTTACCTCATCACCAGTCTTTGAATCCACTAATTGTTTATATCGCGAATTTGGTTTACACAAGTAGATTTTGATGGAATAAATTATTTCCCATCTATAATACAAAGTTCCTGACACAAATTTTGGAACAAAATTGTTAATTAGAGCACATTTTTATAATGGAAATATGGTAATAGGTAAAGGTAAAAATTAAGTCTTTCCGATTTTGAGCTATTTGCTGCCTACAATGGCAACGTTAACCCCTTCTTTTCCAGCTCACTGCTCAATTTGGAAAAGGCGAGGTATGTATTATTAACCTTCGATTTGGGAACAAAGTAACGAACCATGACAATGACAAAGTGGTCTGTTAAATTTGGTTCCACCCTAAATAAAGCATTATCCTCAACAGCTTAGACATTCTTCTCGGACCTGTCGAATGAGGTGGGAAAGAGGCTTGTGCAAGGCCTAAAAGCCTTTTTAATCACCAAGACTTAAGCTGGGAGAAATGTCGTCTGTTTGGAGGTTACCTGAACATATGTTAGTAGGGTGAGAAAAATACTACTAATTAGGTGCAGAGCATTTCAGTAGCATGTACAAATCAATGATGGATTTTAAAAATTGACCTAAAAGTTGAAGTAATTAGGGAACTGCCATTAAAAAACTATATTTCTAATCAAATAGACAGAAATAACTCTCTCTGGAGCTTAAAATACTTACATTTTTGATAGCAGAAAGGTTTTGAAAACTTAAATTATAATTAAATAATAATAATTATTATTATAATTATTTACATACGCTTTAGTAAGAAAACGTGACTTTTGAATATCGGAAAGGCAGTCCTTGAACCATCTCATCGTACAAGGCGACTCACCGCATCACGTCCTTAACCTCCTCCAACGAGTTACTGCAGTCAAAAAGTTAACAAATAAGCATTTGTTGTAGCCAACGTGTGTTTAAGTTTAATGAAGGTCAGCCATAAGGCGTCGCATGTTCTGATTCTAGTATTTGCATATGTATATTTTGAATAGCAAAATGTCGATTCCAAAATACTGCACAGTTTGAAGGAGTTATATGGGGTGGCGTTGTTGTTGTTGTTGTTTTTTTACATCTACTCTGCCTCGTCTTGCGAGGTGACATCAACGGTTGCTTCACATGAGATGGAGAGTCTTTGAAGCGCTCTGGCGATTCCCACTCTCCTCGCCTCCATCTCCACAACAGTCAGACCGTTCTTTCGACTCTCCTGGTGGCCAAATGGATGCACTCCAGCTTTACCGCCTGTCGCCATGCATCTGCGTCCAAAGAGGGACTTACAGGTAGTTCTAAACTTGATGGAGAAAAGGGAATAAAAGACAAAGTTCATGGTGGCATTGGTGAAGAGGAAAACATTGGAGATGTTGGAGAACACTATGATAAGGGAATGAAAGTTGGCATCTGCAACAATCTCCTCCGAGGTGAGGAGATTGGAAATGATGTTGAGAACAGTGCTGGGAATTTGGAGGATTAGAAAAGCCACCACGATTGAAATGAGCATAACTGTAATCCTCTGTTGTTCACTGAAAAGGACTCTTCGAGTACTGTTACTACGAATTTGGGCAGCCGCTACACTAGCATTTAAGCAAGATTTTTCAATTGTCACACCCTTGGAAGCATACTGGACCTTTGGATGTCTATCCTGATATTCCTTTGACATGCATCTCCTCTTCTGCTTCGCCTTTAAGCCTTTTCGAATGAGGAGGATGTTAAAAACTGTCAGTAGAAGAAATGGCAAGATCACAAAGGAAATTTGATTAATAAATGCATATCCAAAAGCTGTTAAAACCCTTTGATATTCTGAGTCTTCGACAATATACCTTCCACCGGAAATAATTGTACCATTTGCATCCATTGGAGGAGTGACTTTTCTTTGAAGGAAGTCCGGAAATGTTACGATAAAGGACACCACACAAACTATACAGACAATGCGTTTCGCCTTTCCTCGAGTGCACACACGATGGCCAAAGATGGGGAAGGAAATGTTAATGAAGCGTTCAATGGTAAAGCTAACTGTAAGCCATGTTGTAATATTGCTAAAAAGATTGGCAGTTCCATGGATAATGGGTACAGCCTGCATATAAATCCACATGCTATAGAATGTCTGGTAGATTTGAAGGCTGAATAGGAGGGAATGTGTGAGGTAGATTAGATCTGAGGCTGCTACAGCGGTTAGATATACATTCGTGGAGGATTTCATCCATGCTCGAGTGAGAACAATGATGTTAATAATGTTGACGACAATCCCGGTGGTGCAAATGAGGGGAGTAAGGATTTTACCACAAATTAGACGAGCAAAGTATATTCGGTTACCATAAACGCCATCCATTTTTGATACAAAAGTAAAGGTGACATAAAGTTGATTTTCAAAAACGTACTGCACTCTGATTGGTCGGTTCGGAACGCCAATGGGAGTGAAGGTCGTATTGACAACTATTTCCATTGGTTCTCCTACATGCTTTTAACGTCTCTTAACCATGTGCTGGATTGATGCTTTCATGCAAAAGTATTATGAATGTAAGGCTGAAAATTTCATCCGCATAAAGGTCAAAGTGTCTGATTATATTGCGAGCCGTTTTTTTACAAACCGTACAAAAGCTTCGATATTTGTGTATCCTTTGATGATTGTTAAATCAAAAAATTGGAGCAGTTACACTTGTATCATTAACTATTTTTTTGCGCATAATGTGGGACATTGTTGAGATGGCCTTGAATGTGAAACTTATTTTAAGAAAATTTTATTTTGGGTTCCCACCAACGCCCCCTCTCCGACTACGTTTGTTATACGTGGGCATTCTGAGTTTCAATGTTTCGAATGTCCACTTTTGCTTGATAATTGAGCATACGTTGTGTGTGTCAGCGGACTATCATAAACAAAAACTGCTAATTTTGAGGTTTGCAGGAATTCGCTTTTCATCAGTGTGTTGATTTATTTTTCGCTATGAAGTACCTTTGACCGACGAGTCACTTAAAGTTGTCCATTTTGGCACACAGTTAAGCCTCAAAGTCGTCACCACAAAGTAGGAATTAAATCTACTTTACGGTTCAGGTTCTTTGAGTGCACAAAAAATTTTCCCTTTTCAAATGGCTAACTAGTTCTTGCTCTTCCATGACCCAGTCACATTTCCCATGATTTAAAGTGATGGCAGAAAATTGACCCTAAATTCACTCGCTATTGTTAGTAGGCAACAATGCTGACTTAAAGTCGACCGATAAAAAGGGACTGAGTGGTTGTGATGTCCTTGTTGCAACCGTTTAGTGAGTTGGAAGTCCTTTTGGTTTTAACCAAAGGCAAGTCTCTCCAAATAAGAGATTTTCTTTTGTCCTATGCAATTACCCTGATTCTGTCGGAACTGTCAACCCCTTTTGGCGCTAGACAAGACAACTGTGTGTGGTCTTGACGATTGTCTACTGAAGCACAAAACAGTGCTGTGATGAGCCTCAAGTTTGTCTGTGCATTAATGCCTTGTAAATCCTGTCAAACGTCGTCTTTGCCAGTGAGGAGGCACTCACTCACGATTTTGTGGAATTTGGGGTGGGAATTAATATGAACCAAATAAAGTAATGCATTCACTTCAGCATTGTCTACACTTTTCACTCCTTATCAACTCATATAGCCTTTGACAATGTTCGTTTTGCAAAGGCCTGCAAGAGGACAAGTGACAAGTGGTGACATTTTTTTTGCCCAGCGTACACAATGTTGTCAACCCGAGGCGGTTTAAAAGACCACCGTCTGGACACAAAGGTCGAATCGCTGGAAATTCCCAACAGCTCACCACTACACCAAGAGCCCTTCACCCCCCTCCAAGAAAAAAAAACAACTTCTTTAACCTTTTTCTGCCAAAATTTACGGTGTCTGTTGTGGGACACCACCATCATCACCATTTGAATGCAAATGTACAGCAGAGGAGAGGTAAAATTGTGCCTTCACTTAAATTAAAATTGCTTCATTTATGGAGTTTTATATTGAAACGCATTTGGAGCAGACGACTGTCCCACTTCTCTCCTTCTCTCCAAAGCCTAATTAAATGAGTGCGGTAATGGTGTTTTCGTTGGAGATCCAATCTAGATCGAGGAAAAAGCATATGGCTGCGCAAATGTAGACCACGGAGAAAGGGAAAGTGGTGGTTACTTTTGTAATCACCTCTCCCTGTCTCACTCCGCCCCTGTCTCTCCCTCTCTCTCTCTCTCTCTCATTCACTACCGCCTTCTTATCGAATGGCGATGACTTTTCCTTTCGCAAGGCCGTCAGCGCTCTCCACTTGGAAGTGAAGTGTGTAAACAATGGAGGGTGGATAAAAGAAATCTTTGCCTATCGTCCTATTTTCAATTACGTAAACTACTTTCCTCCTCTACTTTGTATGGCTATGATTAACCTAAGGAATAGGAGTTTGTAAATCTGAAGCAAAAAAAGTGATTCCATTAACTTATTTCCATTGTTTATACTACTTATATGGAATATGCAAAATATGGAGTGGGGGGACAAAGACTACCGACAAAACGGTGCATATGTGAGTTAGACAGACTGTGACGAATGTCTCAAATGTCATAACTTTGTGAAATAGCCTTGACGATCCATCTGTGGCGTATTGATGCGTCTCCACCTCCTCCCGCCCCCCTTCACTCGACACGAGGGGGACGAGGGAGGAGAGGCGCGGGAGAGGGTTGGAAGGTGGACAAACTGTCAAAAGATTTGTGCAAACTTGAAAACCTCCCGTAGTACTCGATAAGATCAGAGGAGAGGAGACACCGACTAAATAAGTGCAAAAATAATAATAATAATA